AAAAAAAAAAAAAAATTCTCAGGAAGCCAACATCAGGCTGAGAATGTAGCTCAGTGGTAAGGCACTTAACAATTACATATGTACTTGCCTATCAAGCAAGAGGTCCTGAGTTCAATCCCCAGCTCAGAGAAAAAGGAAACAGAAAGCCAGGATCTCTCTGAGGGCAAGATAGCTATCTTGCTGTAAATGTCCTGAGGAATTATCTTCTTCATTTTCTGGAAAAGAATGACTGGAGAGGTACAGGGGCTTGCCCCAGGATCCCCAGTGAAGGAACTGAGCTGGAAGTTCATGCAGTTTTGGCCAGCAGAGGGCAGCCTTCCATGGGAGGTATGCAGAAAGAGGGGACCCCAGCAGGTATCCCATTCAAGAGCTCACTGTCTGCTTCCCCTGTCCTCCTCAGGTTATGGCCACATGGCTCCACTCTCTGAAGGTGGAAAGGCCTTCTGTGTGATCTATGCGGCTCTCGGGCTGCCAGCTTCCCTAGCACTTGTGGCTGCCCTGCGCCACTGCCTGATGCCTGTGTTCAGCCACCTGGGTACCTGGGTAGCCAATCGCTGGCAGCTGGCACTGGACCAGGCTGCACTGTTGCAGGCAACAGGGCTGGGCCTTCTGGTGGCTGGCATCTTTGTGCTGCTGCCAGCACTGGTGCTGTGGGGTCTACAGGGTGATCGCAGCCTGCTGGAGACCATCTACTTCTGCTTTGGCTCACTCAGCACCATCAGCCTGGGAGACTTGCTGCCCGGCAGTGGCCGAAGCCTGCACCCAGTGATTTACCAGCTTGGCCAGTTCGCACTTCTTGGTGAGTGTGGGGAGGGAAGAGGAACCTAGATTATGATCCTCATGATCCCCTGGGGGCTAACATCACAGGCATTGTTCGGAAGTAGTAATCTACACAAGTCCTGTGGTGGCAGCAGTAAGAGAGGTGTGAGTGGTGCCTGGTGCCAGGATGGTCACCATGCTAGAAATGAGTGGGAGCATCTTGGGTACCACAAGAGCTGCCCTAGCACTCTCCTCCCCAGGTTACTTGCTCCTAGGGCTCCTAGCCATGCTGCTGGCAGTGGAGACCTTCACAGAGCTGCCACAGGTTTGCGCCGTGGTGAAGTTCTTTGGGGCCAGTACCCCTGTGACTGCTGAGGACCAAGATGGCATTATGAGCCAGGATGAGCTGGCTCTGAACAACCTGCCTCCTGCCACTCCTGCCTGCGAACAGGCCTGGGCTTGCTAACAAGTGTCAGGTGACTGCATGCAGCTCCACTGAAGGAAGTGGAGGATCCTAAGGAGGAAGCAGCCATGAGCACTTGGAGAAGAATCTGGAGATGGCAGGGGGGTGGTGGTAAAGATGTTAGGGAACAATGTGTTAAGTTTTTAAAAAGGCAACAAATCCACTTTGTTTTGTGTCTTTTTTTTTTTTTTTTTTTTTTTTTTTTTTT